CTTCTCTCTGCAAATGCCCCAGGATGGAGTGGGACCTGGGACAGGCTGACAGAAGGCAAGGACTCGCCTCGCACCCAGAGCTCAATGAGAAATAAACAGCGGTCCTGGTTGTCTGCCCCTCCCCGCCCCCCTCCCCCACACACACCCTTGGACTTCTCAAAGGCCCAGGGCGGTTTCCAGGCTCTGAGGCCGCCCCCCCCCACTCCTAGTTTTTGTGTCCTGACAGCCCCAAACACCCTCCGGGCCTGTGCCCCCACCCTACACGCCTCACTCACTCCCAAGGAAACTCCTAAGTTGGGGGCTGACCTCACGACCTTGGCCCTCCTGGGGCCCTGGGGGCAAAGCGCAGAGGGCAGGCGACCCGGCCTGGCTCAGCCGCCCCAGAGGAGAAGCCAGCTCCCAGCAGGGAGGACGCCCGGTTGGGTCCCTAAAACCATGGGTTCTGGACACCGGGGAGACGCTCTCTCCGCCCCAGGTACCTCCCGGCCCCGCTGAGAAGGACACCGGATATTTCCTACAAAACTGGCTATTCATAGCGTTTCTCCCTTTCCCTGGTGTGATGGCAGCATTCCCCGTTAATAAAGATCCCAGAAAATCAGAGTGCCTTCAGCTGGAACTGAAGCCCCCCCTGGAGAGCCCAGCCGGCCCCAGGGGACCATCAAAAAGTGTCCGGGCACCCAGCTCCTTTCTGGCGCTGTGCTGCTGGTCCTACACCCCCCAACCCCACCCCCCCGCTGGAGAGGTGACCTGAGGGGAGGAGGGGGTGCAGGTACGAATCCTCGCCCTTCGGAGGCTGAGGGCCCTGGGCCCTGGAGTCCCCGCTGACTCTATTTGCATGTTTAAGTCCCAAAGGCGAAGGCACCCTCAGCCAGGATGTCAGATTTTTAAAAGGAGCACTGAGGAAGGAGGTCTGGGGGGGACTTGCCTGGGAACTTTCCCATGCCCCCCCCCCACCCCTGCAGGCTGTTCCAGGGGTGACTCTCTGTGCTCCCTTGTGCCTTGATTAACCACAGATGTTTTGGGGGCAAGTTGGGATTTTTAAAAGTGAGAGAAAGGGGGGAAAGGCACACAGTCCCTTTGGGACTGAAACGTCCCACTTCCCACGTTCTTCCCCCTCCCCCCTCCCCCCTCCCGGGGAGAGCCAGCCAGCCCAGAGAAGCCAGCAGTTCTGTCTCTGGCTCAGGTGCTGGTTTGAACCCCACCCTTCTCAGGCCCCCCACATGGGCGATGCTTCACATCTCCCTCACCACCACCCCCTGTCCCTCTCATCCCTCTTTCTCTCCGGAAACAGAAAAGGGGAAAAACACAAAAGCACCTTGGCCTTCAGTTCTAGGGGTGCGCGGGGTGGGAGTGGTGGTGGGGGCACAGGCGTCTGTGCACACAGAGCTTAGACCTTTGATGACCCAGGGCAGCGTGTCCGGGGGTTACTTGTGGTCGGCCCCGCATGGTATTCACTGCACCCGTATTACGGAGCCATCTGCAACTCTCCTTCCCGTTTTGGCTGCAGCCATCCAGCCTGGAGCCTGTCTGAGCCTTACCGGCTGCTCCTTCCGAAGAGAGCGGAGCCCCCGGGCATGAAGAGCCACCAGCCACAGGCTCCATGCCCAGGGAAACGCACCCATGACCGGGAGCGCCTGGGAGTGCAGGGCATGGGGACTGAGGGCCCACCAGGGACGGGGGTCTTTCACCTGCAGGGAACAAGCCCTGGGGAGCCAGCCGGAGAAGGCGGGGGGGGGGGGCACCTCTCTAGAAAAGGTGGCCAGGCTGAGCTCCTGGGGAGACCCCGCTGCTCACCCCAACCAGATTCTTCTAGGAGGCCCGTCCCTGCTGAAGACGGATTCAGGCATGGTCCCCACTTTTGCTAAGAAATATGGTGAAGGGAGGTTATGCCCCTTCATCCCTCAGGTATGGGGAACCCCACCCCAGGACCCAGCCCCACCCCCTGGCAGCCCGGTGAGCACCGCCCCGCAGAGCCAGGAAAAGCGCTCTGTGCCAACAACTCCGGCTCCGGCCTGGGCTCCCTGTGTAGACTCGCAGGGAGGTTGGCGGCCCGGCTGGAGAAATTGAGCCTGGCGCCGGCCCCCCAGACGCCTAAAGAGGGAGAAGGGGGAGGAGGGTCCCAGACCCTGGCTTCCCGAGGTCTCCCCTGGGGATCCGCTCGCACCTCCAAGTCTCTGCTCCCCGCGCAGACCCTTTGCATGTAGCCGAATGCGCGTCGCTGCTACATGCAAAGGGCAGCTGGTTGCTTTTCCCTTTCCTGACCAGCGCCCCTTCCCTCGGCTAACACTGGGCCGAGGGCCTCAGTTTCCCCATCTGTAGCGCAGCGAACTGAATGGGGGTGGGGGAGCTGGCACCCAGACCCCAGAAGACATTCAGGACTGCCTCACTGGCAATGGATGGTCTCTATGCATCCGGCTCGGCCTGGCCCTAGCTCGCCTAGCAGAGGGCATCGCCTGGCACCGGGGAGGCGGGGTGGGGGTGGGGGCACCCTGCCAGTGGTCTGGGTCTCCGCGTTCTGTGCAGAATAGAATTGTCAGGCACGGGGAGCGCGCTTTTTATCCGCCGGGTCCTCTATAGACACGGGCTGCCCAGAGGAGGGTCCTCGCGGGAGGGCACACCGTGACACTCGGAATTTCTGCAGATAAATCTGGCGGCAGAGCAGTCCTGATGGAGAGGGACAGGCACCCTCCACCACCGCTAGCAGCGTTCTCCTGCGCTTTCTGCGAGCCGAGACCGTTTCTGGGCTTTTGGCGCCCCCTCTGGATGCGGCTGAGAATTGCAGCCCGGTTTTTAAGTCAACTGATTGTTTTTACCGCGTTTTCCAAAAAAAAGATACAAGAACACAAAATGCTTGCATCAAACAAACAGAAAATGTACACAATACTATCACTTGCTATGTAAAGCGCTGCGTGTTTTATGTCCTGCTATAAAAAATGTATTAAAATAGGCTTACGTGTGTAGGTTTTTGTTTTTTTTACCAATATTTAGTGAAATGTTCCAAACTAGCTCCAAGTCATGGTCGCCTTCAGTGCCTTTTACGCCGGGAAACAGGAGAATTACGATGAAATGCAACTAAATACAGACGCCTTGGTTAAAACCTCTGCCCCAAGTTCTGGTGTCTGAGCCTCCTTCTGGATCAGTTGCCTACAAATCCCACAGTCAGTCATATCCACGAATGTCCCCTCCCCAGGACCCAGGATTCAGTCCATACTATGCGGGACTTTTTTCTCTCCAAAATAAGGACAAAGTCGTTCTTATTTTTCCCCAGCATATTCGGAAGCCATGAACGCAAGACTGCTGTTCTCTTAACCTCCTGTTAAACTCTAAGATCACCAGGACATCCACTGTGAGTTACCTTCGATTAAAAAGTAAAATACTGTTGAACAGGGTTGCAACTCACTACTTTCTGCACAGTCCCGTTTCCTATAAGAAATGTCCAGCTCTTTGGAAGAAAACAAAATTTTTGAAAATTCCTTAAGGGAAAAAAAAAACGTCCTTGAAATCAGAGGCCCCCCGCAATTTGCAAATTAGAAATAAACAAGTCTCTGGTATGATTCCGGCCGGCCGAGTCACAAGAACCATCATTTACATCGAGGTGAATATTTGCCGGAGCCAGGAAAGGGGTGGGTGGGGGAGGGAAATGTTGAAAATTAATAAGAGTTTTGCTCCGTTGGGCGATTAGTTATGATTCCGAAAGAAGTAACCCTCGGACGACTAAAGTTTTTCTTCTCCCCCAGAAAAAGATACCCAGCCAGACTCTCAGCATACGTGTAAACACGAAAGCTGGTGCTCAAATCACACTGGAAAGACATCAGACACCCCCACCCCTCCACAGAAGTCCCTACTGTCTGCGAGTCACAAAAGGACCGGACTGTAAAGCGGGGTCCCCAGGCGCTCCCCGCTCCAGGTGACGGTGAAGGAGGGGATTGCCGGCAGGCACGGGACCGCCGGAGTGGCCTGTTTCGCCTGCAGCGGGACCTATCAGTCTAGCCTTTTGCAAACTGAGCGACTGGCCTCAGCCTGGCGGCCCCGGGGCGGCCCCGCTCGCCCAGTTAGGTAACCTCTCAGAGCCAGTTTGCACACTCTTTCCAGTTTGCACACTCTTTCCAGTTTGCAACTCGGCCGGGAGATGGAGAGCGGACCCTCACAGCAGTGGCCCTGTCACCGGGGCGCTTTGGCGGGGTGGGGGGCTTGGAGGTGGGGGGCTGGAGGAGAAATTGTCGGAGTTCAAGGTCGGCGTGGACTGAGGACGGCTCTGCCAGCGAGTGAGCAAGCGATCCAGCGAGCGCGGGGCTGCACGGCCGCCTGCAGCCGCCTTCCCTGCCGCTTGCGCGGGGAGCTAGCTCTGGTTTTCATTGATTCCCTTTGCAAAAGCGCAGCCAGATCCCCGACCGGCCTCGCCGGCCCCAGCGAACCGGAGCCTGCTCCCCTATTTATATGGGTTATTACAGGGGAACGGCGGGCGCTGAGTCACAGAAACATTTGTTGCAAGAAAGCCATTCCTGAGCACAAGCTCCTCCACCAGGCTGCGCGAAGCGGAGGGACTGCCTCTCACACACTGTGAACGCCGGCTCCTGCCCGGGACCGCGGGGAAAGCTCCGAGGAGCAGTGCTTTGGGGATGGGGTAGGTCCTAGGCTAGACGTGCGCGCGCACACGCGCGCCCACACACACACACACACACACACACACACACACACGGAGATCCGCGCAGAAACGCACCAAAAACTTCTGACATTGCAAGAGGAGAGCACGGCAAACTTACACACTTGGATGTCCCGGGTCCCCCGCCTTTCCAGCAGCACCCCCCCCCCCTACACACACCCCCCTTAACCGCCCGCCGCCGCGGCAGCCGGCAGCCCTCCCCGCCCAGCGCCGCCCCGCCCTCTGGTCACCCAGCCCAGCACCGCGATCCTCCCCGCCCCCCTCCATTCCCGTCCAATCAGCTGCCCACCGGACCCGGATTGGCTGGCCGGAGCCGAGGTGCGGGGGGAGTATTTATTAAAGAGCCGCCGGGCCGGCAGGCGGAGAGCGGAGAGCAGAGCTTGACATTGACTGGGAGCTCCAGTGGCGCCACGACTCGCCAGTTTCTCCCCAGGAACTTTTCTTTGCAGGAGGAGAGGGAAAAGGGGTGCGATCGCCCCCGCTTTCGCTCTTTCTTCCCCTCCTCCTCCTCCTCCTCCTCCTCTCCAGTCCGCCTTACCCCCCTGGAAGCGGGCAGCTGCGGGCTGGGCACCCCGCGCCCCCCCAAGGGCTCCCAGCCGCCGCTGAGCGACACGCCAGGCGCCCCGGGAGCCGCTCGCCCCGCGCCCGGGCCGCCGAGGGCAGAGGAGCCCGCGCCCCGCGCCCCCGAGCCGTCGCCGCGGCTTCTCTCCTTCCCCGGCCGCCCCTCGCCCCCTCCCCCGGGCCCGCGCATGAATCTCCTGGACCCCTTCATGAAGATGACCGAAGAGCAGGACAAGGGCCTGTCCGGCGCCCCCAGCCCCACCATGTCCGAGGACTCGGCCGGCTCGCCCTGCCCCTCGGGCTCCGGCTCCGACACGGAGAACACGCGGCCCCAGGAGAACACCTTCCCCAAGGGCGAGCCGGACCTGAAGAAGGAGAGCGAGGAGGACAAGTTCCCCGTGTGCATCCGCGAGGCCGTCAGCCAGGTGCTCAAGGGCTACGACTGGACGCTGGTGCCCATGCCCGTGCGCGTCAACGGCTCCAGCAAGAACAAGCCGCACGTCAAGCGGCCCATGAACGCCTTCATGGTGTGGGCGCAGGCGGCGCGCCGCAAGCTGGCCGACCAGTACCCGCACCTGCACAACGCCGAGCTCAGCAAGACGCTGGGCAAGCTCTGGAGGTAGGGGGCGGCCGGGGGCTCCGGGTGGGGGGCCGTGGGAGGGGTGCGCGGGCCCAGACCCCCTCTCCCTGCCCCGCCTCCCGCAGCGGGCGGGGTGGGGCCGGAGGGGGTGGGGACGCGGTGGTGTAACTTGGCTCGGAGTTTGACAAAGTTCTTGGATGGCTCCAGGGGAGGGAGGAGGGGGCGGGGGCGGGGAGGGGGGGGTTGGGGGGAGTGGAGGGATGGATGGACGGCCAGCGGGTGGGAGAAGGCCGGTGGGAAGCACGCACGGCGGGAGGGGGCCGGCCTGAGGAACCGCAATCCCAAACGGGGGCTGGAGCGCAGAGTGAAGTCCGCTTCTCTCCCCGGGAACTGCGGGCTTTGGGTGGCTCTGCGCTCAGGGAGTGCGGATGGAGGGCGGGGAGAGAAACCGAGGCTAGAGGACCCCCCCCCCCCGCCCTAAGCAGAAGGGGGCGGAGGAGGGAGGCTCCTGGAAATGGATGGGAGCAGTGTTGGGGGGGGGGGGGAACAGGAGGGGCTCCTTGCAAATGGAATGGGATTTTTGGGAAGGGCTTGAAGGGAGAGGAGGGTGGGGTGGGGTGGGGTGGGAGAGGGAGAACTCCGGTAGCAGAGGCATTAAGAGCCTGGCGGCCAAGACTATTTCCATCCGCAGCGTTTCCAAAATAGAAGGGAAGGGAGAGGGCGGGGCGCGGAGTGACCCCTCATGTCCCACTAACAGAATGGGGGAGACTTTATTTTTTACTTTTGTTTAAGAAAAGTTAGGAGCTGTAGCAGTGGCTGGAAAGCAGGGGCTGGGGGGAGACAGGGTTGTGCGCAAAAGCAGCACGGAGAGGTGGGGGTCCCCTCCCGCCCCCGCCGCCGGCCTCACAGCCCCCCCCTTTCCCCGCGCCCCCTCGCGCACAGGCTGCTGAACGAGAGCGAGAAGCGGCCCTTCGTGGAGGAGGCGGAGCGGCTGCGCGTGCAGCACAAGAAGGACCACCCGGACTACAAGTACCAGCCGCGCCGCCGGAAGTCCGTCAAGAACGGCCAGGCCGAGGCCGAGGAGGCGGCCGAGCAGACGCACATCTCCCCCAACGCCATCTTCAAGGCGCTGCAGGCCGACTCGCCGCACTCCTCCTCGGGCATGAGCGAGGTGCACTCCCCCGGCGAGCACTCCGGTGAGTCCCCGGGGGGCGCCCCTGAGCCCCAGCCGCGGCCGCCTGGCGCACCCCGGGCCTCCCCGAAGAGGCGCCGCTTGGGGACTTTGCACCACCGGGGAGCGGGGGCCAACATCCCCCACCCCTAACCACACACACACATCACACACACACACACACACACACACACACACACACCGACTTTTATTGCAGGAGGTAAATGCCTTCACAGCTTTGCTGGACGTCACCCCTCTTTCCTTTGCTCCCCAACTGCAAACACACACCGGGCTCCCCCAAGGAGCAATTTGGTGGAGGGCCCTCAGGTGCCCCCGATGGAAGGAGATGGCCCGGTGTGTGCCGGCAGGATAATTACTGATTACAGGAGGGGACTTGGGGGCCCTTGGACCCTTCATCAGGGAGGGAGGGTCTCCGGAGGATTCCCAAAACCAGGGCCTTTTGCACACACCCCTTGCTCATCTTCCTCTGCTTTTTCTCTTTTACGGCCTGCAGGGCAATCCCAGGGCCCCCCGACGCCGCCGACCACCCCCAAGACCGACGTGCAGCAGCCGGGCAAGGCCGACCTGAAGCGCGAGGGGCGCGCCCTGCCCGAGGGGGGCCCCCGCCAGCCCCCCATCGACTTCCGCGACGTGGACATCGGCGAGCTGAGCAGCGACGTCATCTCCAACATCGAGACCTTCGACGTCAACGAGTTCGACCAGTACCTGCCCCCGAACGGCCACCCCGGGGTGCCGGCCACGCACGGCCAGGTCAGCTACACGGGCAGCTACGGCATCAGCAGCGGCACCGCAGCGGCGGCGGCGGCCCCGGCGGGCGCGGGCGGCCACGTGTGGATGTCCAAGCAGCAGGCGCCGCCGCCGCAGCCGCCCCCGCAGGCCCCGCAGCCCCCGCAGCAGCCCCCCCAGCAGCAGCCCCCGCAGGCGGCCCCGCAGCCCCCGCAGGCCCCGCAGCCGCCGGCGCACACGCTCACCCCGCTGGGCGGCGAGGCGGGCCCGGCGCAGCGGCCGCACATCAAGACGGAGCAGCTGAGCCCCAGCCACTACAGCGAGCAGCAGCAGCCGTCGCCCGCCGCGCAGCAGATCGCCTACAGCCCCTTCGGCCTCCCGCACTACAGCCCGTCCTACCCGCCCATCACCCGCGCGCAGTACGACTACAGCGACCACCAGGGCTCCGGCGGCTCCTACTACAGCCACGCGGCCGGCCAGGGCTCCGCCGGCCTCTACTCCACCTTCACCTACATGAACCCCGCGGCGCAGCGGCCCATGTACACGCCCATCGCCGACCCCTCCGGGGTGCCCTCCATCCCGCAGACCCACAGCCCCCAGCACTGGGAACAGCCCGTCTACACACAGCTCACCAGACCCTGAGGAGCCCAGCTCGGAGACAAAGGGGGATGGATGATGATGGAACCCCTCACCGAAGAAAGAAAGAAAAGAAAAAAAAAGAAAACCAATCCACCACGATTTCTGTGCATTTGGACATGACTATTTTTTTTTTTCTTCTTCTTCTTCTCATTCCGTAAGGACATGGTAAGCTACAAGGCAAACTCTGGGACCCAGATGCCAAGGCAGACACATTTGGCTGTCCAAAAACGCGCACGCCCACCTTGCTGGAGGCAGGCAGTGGCCAGGCCACTGGGGCCCTTCCAGGGACCCTGGGGCATCTCCGCAGGAGGCCGGACTTGTTGGAAGTCGTCTTTGCAGCCAGCTCCAGGAGGATGGAGACCCCGTGGGACCGACCGTGTTTGCTCACTCTCTCGGCCTGTTTGGACTCTTGTAATTATTTTTTAGCCGTAATTAAAGAAGAAAGTCCTCTGTGAGGAATATTCTCTATTTTAAATATTTTTTAGTATGTACTGTGTATGATGCATTACCATTTTGAGGGGATTTATACGTATTTTTAGATTTAAAGCAAAAAATTAAATGCTCTTATTTTTCCAACAGCTAAAACTACTTTAGTGGAACAAGTGCGCCCTAGCTTTTTCTCGCGACCAGAGTATTTTTGTACAGATTTGCTTTCTCTTACAAAAAAAAAAAAGAAAAGAAAAGAAAAAAAAAGTGTCGTATTAACATTTTAAAAACCCCCACAGGTTTGTGTTATGAGATGAGATGGGGGAGGGGGGGCGGGGTGTTAGCTTTGCTTAATGCCTCTGGCTTTCTGATTGGAGAGGAGCTGCCTTAGACAAATAAAGGCCTTATTTTGCAAGTATGGACCTACACACGTTAGTCTAGAGAAGCATATGGTAAGCGATATCACGTATATATTTTTTAAATGAGAGAAAGAAGAAAAAAACACCTTGAGCCTTAAAATGTGCTGCTGATAAATACATGCGCTCTCTTCTAGTGCATCTATTTCCTCCTGCGTTCGCCTGGTCACGGAAGTCTCAAGCAAGAAGCGAAAGGCAAGGAGAGGAAATGTGATTTGGAGATGTTTCAGCAGCCAGTCAGTGCCTCCCCTCCCCCACCCCACCCCCTGCCCTCTGCCCCCTGCCCCCTGATTGCCTGGCCCCATGTGGCAGCCACCTCCCAGTCACCTGTGCCTCTCTGAACACCAGCAGTTCACCTTCAAGACATTCCACGTGCTCAAATTATTTATTTTGTAAGGAGAGGTTTACATTAAAAAAAAAAAATACAAAAAAAAAAATCCCCCCTTTAAAATAGGTTGTTGGAGCCTTCCTCAAAGGGTATGGTCATCCTGTTAAATTATGTTCTTAACTGTAACCAGTTGTGTTTTTTTTTTAATTTATCTCTTTAATCTTTTTTTGTATTATTAAAAGCAAGTTTCTTTGGACTCCTTGTCCTAGATTTGTATAAATATGCCTTTTTGTCCATCCTTGTATTTTTTTTTTCCTTTGTCTTTTTTTGTTGAAAAACTGGAAACTTGTTTCTCTTTTTTTTTTTTTTTCTTTGTACAAATGAGAGGTTTCAAATGTAGTGTATCACTGAGTCCTTTGCAGTGTTTTCTGCCACAGATCCCCTGGCCGCCGACGCGGTGTGCGTGTGTGAGACACGGGACAGCGGGAGCCCGTGGCGCCCATTCCTCTGCATGTTCCCTTGGAGAGAGGGAGGAAAGAGGGAGGGGCCAGCCCGCCGCCAGACCTGAATTCTTCATTATCTCTGTGGCTGGAGCGTTTGAGGATTGCTTTTTAAAAAAGACAGCAAACTTTTTTTTTATTTAAAAAAAAAAAAAGATATATTAACAGTTTTAGAAGTCAGTAGAATAAAACCTTAAAGCACTCTTATAATACGGCATCTTTCCATTTCTGTATAAAAGCAGATCTTTTTAAAAAAAAAAATATTTCTGTAACTTAAAAAAAAAAAACCTGGCATTTAAATCATATTTTGTCTTTTAGGTTAAGGTTTGGTTCGTGTTTGTGTTTTTGTTTGTTTCCTTGTCCCCTTCCCTGTATACCCCGAAACTTTTGTCCTCTCTGTGAAACTTATCTTTTTCTCTCTCTCTTTTTTTTTTGTATATTATTGTTTACAATAAATATACATTGCAATAAAAGAGCGCTGCCCTGTGGACTTACTCACCCCTTTCTCTTGGGAAAAGAGTGGCTTGAAGAACGCGGCCACAGAAGAGATGGTTGCCTGCGAGGTTTTGGTTTTTAAGTGCGCTCTTGGCAGTCCTGAAACCGGCCCTGGGAAGACTGTGCCCTCAAACACGGACACACCAAGACCTAGTCCAGTGCCACCCCCTCAGGGCGCCCGGAGAATCACGTGCCCGTAGTTGCCCGCCCAGGCAAGCGTGTGGTGTGGACGCCGGGAGGGCATGTTCGCCCCGAAGCCAGAGGCTTGTCAGAAGGTAGAGGCCAGAGGGGGTGGCTTGTCTGGCTTCACAAGAGCCAGCTTTCTGAGATGATGAATGCACCCCCCAAAACGGGGTGACCACTGTCCACTTCAAAAGCGAAGGAAGCCAGACTCAACCTGTGTCTGCAGGAGGGAGGGCCCGGGGAAGCCTGTCCTCCGAACCTGGGAATCATTCCGCGTTTATCTGCAGGGGCCACGGAGGGAGAGGGGGGTTCTGTTCCCTCCGGTTTAACTCCTTCTGAGCAGATGCAAAGCCATCGCAGAAGCAATAAGGCCTAATCCTGTTTTCCTTGGCCCCGGGTAGATGGGAGTTTCCAGGATCAGAGCGCCGTTCAGGTCATTTTTCATTTCGCAGATGAGATCACTCCTGCCCTCCCACCCCCGCACCGAGACACCCCGCCCCCACCCCAGCTGATCCCCATGGGGAAGTGTCTGCAAGGAGGCAGGTCTCCTCGGCACCCCGGGCTGGGGTTGTGGCTGGGCCTGCACCCCCGAGGCCTTCACCGGCACCCCACGCTCCCGGATCACCTCCCCTTGTCTGCTTTTGCCCATTGGATTCCTGGCCTGCGTCCCACGCCAGGATCATGGCAACCAGGAAAATGGGAGTTATCAAAGAGAGGCAACGTTAGCGCTCAGCCTCCTTGGCAAATTCCTTTGGCAAACATGAACTGAGGGCCTTGTGATCTGCTGGGTGCTGCACAAACACCGCCCTGCCCCCACCCCCAGCCCCATCCCAGGCGGCAGATTCTGTGGCTTGGTGGTGCTATAACATCCCACCCTCCCACCGCCCAGAACCCCATTCTCCATTTTTACAAAAATCTCTATTTTTCCCCCTTGCCAACACTCCCAAAGTCCTTTATAAATTTGTTTCTGTTAAATTGGTATTCGCCCAAATCCCTCTGTCCATTAAAATGGACATATCGTCCAATCACAGCCCTGTCCCCACCTAGGTTTGCGAGATTCTTCTCTCCACTCCTATGCACATGCTCTTTTCCTCAGTTTCCCTCGGTACATGACCTTGGGCAGACCTTTCGAGAGCCAGAAGATGCCACTGAAACGTAAGCTTGCTGGGTGATCTAAGACAAGCTGCTTACTGCCCCGTGCCTCAGTTTCCCCTTTTGTTAAGCATGCTTATAATCCCTCCCAATGGAACAGGGTTGCATTAGGGCAATTTGGGGCAAGGAAGGAGTAAGCTGAGAATTCACTTGCTCTGAATCTCCTGGTCGGTATAGGATTCCTTTGGAAGGTAAAGGAAAATTTTTGGGGTTTTCACGGGTCCCCACACGGCACTGATGCACAGGAAAACCCAGGAAACACCGGAGTGCAGAGAGGGGGCGCCTCTGAATCCCCCCACCCCTACCCACCAGATCCAGTCAAAGCCCTGCATCACCAGATTATTAAATATTTTCGAGGCATTTTTAGTCTAAATCCAGAAATGCAGGGCTTATCACCCTGACAACAAGACATTTATTGGGATCCTAGCAGAGAGTCCTCCAGACCAGAAAGCACTTGGATTTTAGACTTGAAATGAAACTTTTTGTAAAACCATTTGAACCAAAAAATAAAAGGAATTTTTAACCGCAGGGAATTTTAACAAATCACCGAGAAGCAGTCTTTCGGGCTGTAATGAACATGGCGCTTACGGGTTTGTGTGAGAAGGGTGTTTGACTCCCAGCTCAACTCCATACCGTTCCTCCTCCTTCCCCTCTTCATTTCTAACAGGAACAGGTTTGAGGCACCACTCTGACACTTTGTCAATTGCTAGAGTCACTTAATGAGGTCGCTAAAGATGCTTAAGCTTTAGGACTCCTCACGAGAGCAGACATCTATTAAGGCCTCGGACTTAATCTCATATTTTTAAAAATGCATAGCCTTGTTTTTAAAAATCTCCTTCCTCCCTGGGGAAAAAACAAAACAAACAAACAAAAACCTGATACAACTCAGGCCCCATAAAACCTGGGTCTGCCCATGACCATGGCTGTTGGACAGCAAACTATGACATCAGAGGCTGCCAGCAAGATGCTTTCCCTTCTCTTCAACAGTCCTGACACTTGGTACATGCTTAATAAGTTCCAACCTCTCATGGCGAGGTCACCAACAACGCAGTATCAGGAATCTCTGCCATAACATTCCACCACCTGTCCTTACATACTTTTCTTATCCCTTTGAGACCCACATGCTTTTCATTTCTCAGGAGATATTATCTCACGGACATAACAGAGGTGCATGACCTACGAAAGCCCACAAGAAATGTTCGTTATTTCTCCTGTCTCCTGTCTTCACTTCCTCTTCCCACTCATCTCCTATTTTCCTTTCTTAGGCCATCTCTGCCCTGCATTTTCCTAGGGCCACCTGTTAGCTCTGGAAGCTGAAAAGCATTTGCTGGGCCCCCAGAGGGCTGCTGCTTTCCCACCAATCACAGCCTAGAACTTGTCCACCCTGGACAGCTGAAGAACTGTTTGTGGACCAAAGACAATGCGGGCTGGGCAATGTCAGATTTGCATTCACTCAAGACAACCAGACAAAATCTGGGGAATGGGTACATTACCTTGACGATTCAGCTGGACACGTCCTTCGAAATGCCAAGCTTTTCTATTGAACTGAGTCCAGTTGCCACAATTTCAAGGTGCCATATGCCACTTCTGGGAGGGTTCTACTCTTCCTTCTCCCCACGAACCTTTGGAGAGCAGCACCGGTGCATCAGGATTCAGCAGTGAACATAGTCCCCCTGCCCTCATGGGGCTTCCCTTTATGTGATTTTTTTTTCTAGGTTATTATTATTTGGTAGTGTGTTTTTTTTTATTGATTTCAGAGAGGAAGGGAGAGGGAGGTAGAGATAGAAACATCAATGATGAAAATCATTGATCGGCTGCCTCCTGCACGCCCCCCACTGGGGATCAAACTGTGACCTCCTGGTTCATAGATCCATGATCAACCAGTGAACCACACAGGCCAGGCACAAGGCCTATATTTTAGAGAAGGCAGGAAAAACACTGAATTCTCCTGCAATTTTCTTGTTCGTGTACTCTGAGCACATGACGAGGGGCCAGTGGGAGGCCATAGCAGCCGCCCAGAGAGACCTGATGGTGGCCTAGCTGAGGATGGCAGAGATAAGGTAGTTAATGGATGATTCAGGTGAGAACTTCTGGCTTCCCCCCCCCCCCTCTTCTAATCTCATCCATTTTCAGCGACATGAAATTTACTGTGACCCAACTGATGTAGAAGTGACCCAGTCTCTTTAGTCACTCCCTCTTGCCTACCTCAATAACTCTCTGTAAGTCCCTATACCTTTTGATTAAGCACAAATTCATGTATCTCACAATCCCCTTTTGCCAGGCACCTGAAAAGAAGGTTCTAGGGTCTCCGGACTTCCAGGGATTTGGTTAATGAACCCCATAAGTTTATGGAATCAGAAATTTGGGGGGTATGATGGGAGGTCTTTGAGTTCCGTTGTGTGCTCATTGCAAAAATCTTTTGAACAACATCTCGGCCATTGGATGCTCCTTAATCTCTTCTAGAACGCTTGCATTGATAGGGAGAACTTGAATTGTGGAGAAATCTATCTCTGCCGTCCCCATCCCATGATCGGGGGCACCCACCTCTACGCCAACATGATGTCTTGTCTTTCTTCCAGATGGTAGCCCTTCAACTAATTGTACACGTTTCAAGTTTCCTTTCCGTGTTTCCTTCCCCCATGCTAAACATTCCCAATGCATCTTTACATCTGATATGGTCCCCAGGCTGGTCCACAGCCTGCCATTCTTTTTGCTGGTGCACTTTACTTATGAGCATTCCTCTCAAATTAGCATGTCCAGAATTATGACCACAGCTCCAGGCTAACATGGAATACAAGTAGAATCATCCTCTGTGTAATCAGTATAATCAGAAGTAGTTGTGCTTCTAATAAATTTACATTTAAATTGCATCCAATTATTGCAGTAACCAAATCACCCAGTTGCGTTCTGGTGAGAAATTTCTCAC